GTATTTTTAAGTTGTCAGGAAACAGTATGCTTGTTTGCACTATTCACTCCTGTCTGTAACTCTTATAAAGAACCACTCTGAGATCCAGTGCCCGGTGTAGGTTTGTGTTGCATTCTGGACTGAGAGTTAGTACTCAAGAAAGTTGGTGCACAAGACCTCTGAGTAAATACTGGGTTGTGTTTATCAGCCATTGTAATAATATATTTATTCTGAAAGAAATGTGCATATACGCAATATCACATCATCTCACACATCAAAAAATCTAAATACTGATCCTCTATACCAAACTATGCATGCATGCATTTCTGCATTCATTCATAAAAACTGAAATGTCTAAGTTGCACATTTGAGAGAGAAGACTTTTATTGGTATTCATTTTGTTCCACTTTCATTCGATGATTGTGGTCTTTTGTAGGTCAGCAGGACATCCTTACTGTGGCAGGTGTTGCTTTGCTTCATCAAGAGCCTAAAAGCAGAAAGATAAATGTCAATAATCCAATCCAATGTCAATGTTTTTGAATGGAACTAAAAAGAAGGCGAAGGGAAGCATATGACAACAACCTGCTGAATGGCATTCACTGCAGCGTCGTCCTCTTGCAGTTTGGCCTGGGTCAATGCTCTCTCAAAGTGGGAGACACAAGATTCAAAGTTTCCAAGTTTCACTGAGAGAAAACAGAAAGGAATTGACAGAGAGATCTTTAGTTTGTACTACATCAACAGCAAACAAGCAGACATGTAAACATACACTATTACAACATTTCTTATAATTAAGTAAAAAACATAATTACATTCTGATTGTGCCACCAAAACATTGGCATTTATCTGCCATTTCTCATCAGCAATTTCGTCAGCTGCATCAACCGAACGGACGCCATAATCTCGGGCTTCTTCGTGGCGACTTAGCTCCAGGTAACACCAACCAATCTCATGAAACAGCCAGGTCTTCTCCAGACCACCGCGGACCAAAGGAATCTTCTTCTCCCAGCTGATGTCGAAAACATACAGAGAAAAGAAAATGAAGTAACCAATCATTAATAGAGTAATCTTCAATAGTCACACCTCAATGTAAAACAATGCTCGCTAAAAGAGGTCTGACTATACGAAATTACCATCAAAATAACTTGTTTTGCAAAAGACGTAATATCATATATCACAGTGCAGCTGTTATTTATTATTTACTTACAACTCAATGGCCTGTGAGAACTGTCCAATTTGGGCATAAACCCTCCCAATGTTGTCCAGAGCTCTGGACATTGCATCTGAGAGTTTGCTGTTGATAAGAAAGATTACTCAACATTTGATCCATTTTTGTGAAACACATTCACTCCTATTGTGTAATTTCTGTAATTCTCACCACTGTTTAGCCAACTCCAAGTCTTTCCGATGATGGTCTAATGCTTTGTCCATGTCTCCCAGGTCAATCAAGGCATTTCCAATACAACTGTGCAGGCTGCCCAAAACCTCTTTTTTATTAGGCACATCTTTCTCCGACCATCTCTGCACTATCTTCATGACTTCTTCCGCCTTCTTCAGACTACCCTCTGCATTTCCAGATGTCAACTCTATGACAGAAAAACAAACAGTAAGCATTTTGTGGGCTATAAAGGAAAGCACCAAGCTACATGTTCACTCAGAAGGCTGCCTTACCTTCATCTATGTCGTCCAGGCTCTTCAGCAGAAACTGAGCGGGTTCAGAGGGTGCACTACGACCGGGCTTGCTACATTTTTGCTCCATGAGCTTACGCTCCCTTTCCCGTGCACAAATAGGTTTCTCCTGGCTCCAGAACTCGGTGCAAGTGTCAAGGTACGTGAGGCATGTCTGAATGACGTCCTGCAGTCGCTCCCCACCCTTTGTCTTACTTTTTACCAAGTCTGAAGATCATTTTGTAACAGTCAAATATTAGTCCATTAAAGATGAAAAATGTGATTGTAGGTGGGTTTAAATATTGAAAAGCAAGGACTGGAGGATAAATGAATAGTTAATATTCAGTTATTCTAAATCTGCCAGCGAAGATGCTGAGAAACAAAAGCATAGTGAGTTGTGGACATGAACAGTAAGTAAAATAAAAACATACATTATCTCTTAAGTGACATAAGATCATACCATCATCTTTCAGCAGGTTTTCCAGATATATCTTGTCACTGTAAAACTCTCCCAGCAGCTGTTTGGTTGTCTTCTCATTCTTAGGGGTCTTCTGGGTCAGCTTTTTCTTCTCCGTTGTCAGATGCTGAATAGCAGTAATCGGCTGCGCTCTCTTTAGCAGTCGGTCATTCAGAAACATAATATTGTCAGACATCGTATGGGAGGCAAGGTTTAAACTTTACAAACAAACAATGGTAAGCCACTGGTTAGAAAAGTGAAGAATTATTCTTAAAACAGCTCTACCTGCAAGGTTTCCTGGGTTATTAAAGAGGAGCTAAACAAAGACTCACCTCTTCATCTTTCTGGAGAAATGACAGGTCTCCTTTAATCTCCAGTTTTACAGAGGGAGGGCCTAGAAGATGCCAGAGAAGTACAAATGGTTTAGATCATAGGTGTGAAGATTTCCCTACGCTGTGACTACAGTTTAGTGTAAATAACAATATAGCACTGAATTACTTACTGCCAACAGAGTTTTCTATGGCCTCTTGTGCTTTTTGGATACCCAGTCTGAACTCCTGTATTTGTGGACGTAACTTTTGTCCTCTGTGGTAAAACACCAGTGCAAATTCAAATTCTCCCATGTAGTACAATGCCTCCGCCTTCTGGTACAACCCCTGAAAAATAAACACATCTCATACATTATCCCATGTTTGCACCTGTTTCTGACTCGAGGGCTGCCATTTAATATAAAGAAGACTGCCATTTGTTTTTATTTAATGACACCAACATTTCTGTTTACCTCGAAAAATGTATTGTCTCCTTTGAGAGAAGACTCTGCATCTTTTAAAGCGTCTTCAGATTGACCCAACTTCAGGTGACATTTGGACCGGCCGACAAAGCAGGTCTTGTCGTCAGGCTTTACAGTCAGTGCCTGAAACAAAGAGCGAGTCATTGCCTTTAAACGTTGCACTGACAACCTTGGATAATGTATTGCAATACCAAAATCTTATCGCCATAGTTGAGCTTGCCTTGCCAAGGTAAAACTTACTGTTGTGTAGCTGTCTATAGCCTTTTTATACTCTCCTTTAAGGTACAGCCAATCCCCATCGGCCATTAAAGTGGAGAATACGCCCTTTGGCTTCTGGCCGTCTTGGTCTCCGTCCATGTCGGACATTTTTAGGCAAACTTTTTTGGTAAAAACAGCACTTGCAGACACCTTAATTATGTAAACACATTAGCATCTCCAGTCAACTGGTATCCTAGCAACCACACTAACAAACCGAGCGGGAAACAGCGCCATCTTCTGCCCGCACTGCTTAGTACAACTGAATTCAATTTAATTTAGTTATATACATATTTTTATATATAATATGATAATATATATTAAAAACCCTAGTGTCAAATAGTGTTAATATTGATAGAATTATTAACTATAACACTATGCCACTAAAACAAAAGAAAAACACAAACCCAGAGGAGGCCAACTTTATTGACATGGCTGGTACGTTTCAAGGATAAAGAGAGGATGGTTTCACCATAAGGGCAAAAACGATTAGAGCAAAGATGAGGACGCTTTTCTTTTCTTCATGAAGTTGCACGAAGAGAGCCACACTTACAGGAAGTAACTGAACACTACCAGTTTTCCATCCTCACACAGTGCCTCACTTTCTTAGACAATGGCAAACACCTATTACATGTCATGTTTGTTCTATTTTTATTCCTATCTGTTGCATTGAGTAAAATTAAACAGTTTGCATCACAGTCAAAAAACACACAGAGCATAATCTATTTCTGCGCAAAAACTTCATGCAGACCAAGCAAAACAATTAACTTCCTGAATTTGTGACAAAAGGGTTGCTCATAATCTGTGCCCCTTTTAAACTTTTACATAACAGAAAAGTGTCCTCATCTTACACCGGTGGTTCTATCAGACAGCAAATTTACAATAAATATACATATCAAAATAAAAAAATGGAAAAAATAATCAACTATCATCACAAATCAACACTTTACATTCCAGTAAAATGTACAATGCAGCAATCTGTGAATGGCAACATCAAACATAAAACTTGTGACAACAAGAGGGAGGAGGACTTTGCTGGCAACAAAGCCAGCACAGCTGTCTCCACTGCCATCTTTCTAGTGTGCTTCAACTGTACTGTACGTGTAGGTCTACGCTCCAGCTGTTGTGAAATTTAAAAAAATGCTCAAGTGCTTCTATTGGCTTATGACAAGGAGGCAGTTTTCAGTGCGAATTCGTAGCAGCCAACTGTCTGTCTGACAGATTCTTCAAAAGGGGGGAGGTGCTGCTTGCTTAATGATTTTCTTCAGAAATCATTAAGCAAGTTGTTAACTTTCATGCAGAGAATACCTGCTCAGCAGTAAGTTGAGAGGAGCCGGATAATAGCTTGCTCAATGCTCAGTTGCATCTCTAGAGTTTCCCCAGGATGTCACTTCCAGCATGGATCCCTAAAAGCTCTGATACAATAGCTGCACAATCTCTCTTATCTCAAAAATTGAGAGAATATTTGGACAAAGGGTTGCTAGCCATTACTGACTCTAAAGTTTGTTTCATTCTTGAGAAGAAGAAAACCAAATCCAAAACCAGTAACACTATCAACTCAGTCTGAGACGTCTTGGTGTCCTTGCTTTACGGGCTTTAAATTGTTTGTTGCATGTTTTTTGGGTTGCATTCATTCAGTCAATGGCATAGACAAAAACCTGACTTGCAATCAGTCAGTCATTAAATATGGGTGGTGGGTCAGGGGGTTGACATTGTTGAAAAGTCCTGATGTAGTAACTGTTTAGGTAGAAGAATCCTCCAGTTAACCAAACTGGAAGAAGAAATTTCCTGGTCCAGATGCTGAAAGAAAGAAAGAAACGAGTCAATAACTGTTGATTCTCGAAATGTAAATGGCATTCTAGTTCTCTCTTTTTTGTTTTTTTGTTACATACAGTACATAAAATACCTTCAAAACTAAAACCTCCTGGGCCACCAAAGAATGCCTTGAAAATGTTGTTGGCATCAAAATCTGGTGGAGACAAAAAGAATCAACAACATCAGGTTCTCTTAATAAAAACAGCTCAGACATGACTTGTGCTTTAATCCGTTCACCCCTGAGACCTCCCACCCCGAGTCTTGACCAAGTGCTGACCTCCCATGTTCATGCCGTCGTCCTCCAGATCCTGACCGCTGTCGTAACGAGACTTCTTCTTTGCGTCTGAAAGCACGCTGAAAGCCTCGCCCACCTCCTTGAACTTCTTCTCCTCTTCCTTTTGCACCTCAGGACTAGCTCCGCTGTGACGGTCTGTAGGGAAAGAAACACCACGAAAGCACAAAAGTCAGTTGGGCCGAGGCACACCTGTATACCGCCTGTGTTAGGTAGAACTGTTGCATTCAGTTAAGCACCTGGGTGATGTAAAAGCGCCCGTTTGCGGTAAGCTTTCTTGATCTCCTCTTCTGTGGCTTTTTTGTCCACCCCAAGCACTTTGTAGTAATCTTTCCGCTTGCTTTTCTTCAACTCCAGCTGGGCAGTTTTTAGGAGGTGCTTGTGTTCTAGAGAATTAAAAAAAAACAAAAAACAATTAAGCAGAAATATCTGTGCTACAAGCTGTGTCAGCTGAGCCACCATAGAGGAGTCCGTTTCTCACCTTTAGTCTTTTCTGTCTGGTAAACCTTCTCATAGTCTCGCACTGCCTCTTCATACTGCTCTGTGTCCATGTAGCTGTAACAGAGTATGCAGTTAGCCAGTTTGAACAATTAAATATGAGCTCAGACAATGATGATGATGCGGTCTTGTTTGTCCAAGCAAAAAACATTATAACTTACTGTCTCTGTTAACAACCAAGTTAGAAAACCTGGACATACCACTGTGCTCTCCGTAAATAGGCCTTGATGTAGGTCTCATCCAGTTTAATGGCCTTCGTGCAGTCTTCAATGGCCTGTTCTAGTTTCTTCAGCTTTCAAAGAAAAAGATAAAAGTGTGACCATGCGAAGCAGAAACAGAGAGAGAACAGTAGTGGCCTACTTCTTTTTACATGGCAAAGATACCAAAAAACTTTATACTGTCAGAGCGACAGAATAAGAACTTTGCAATTGTCTGTATAATGCATGAATAACTAATAGGCCTTTTTCCATACACATGCTGGCTTGGCTTGACTTGGCGCACCAACCCGGCACGACAGGGATTTGCATTTCAATTACAATAGGGCTTCCTGCTTGAAGGTGCGTTTTTACAGGCAGAGAAAGCAGCAATGGTCGAGAGAGTTCAAGATTGAATGAAGAGAGGGGCCGACGTTAGTGAGGACAAAGCAGTGAATCAAATAAATATGTTATATTCTGATTGTTTCACAGTGGTTACGTTCTAAAGCAAACAATCACCTTCCCTACAGTATCTAGACTTGTTTTGAGAGTTACAGATTGGCTATGGTCTGCAAGGTGCCACCGCAACCCGCCTGGAGGTGGTTCATCTCAGGCACAGCGTGGCGCGTTTAAACTGGTAATGGAAATGCAAATCAGTGCAGCACAGTTTGACTAGGCACGGCCAAAAGTGCCAATGGAAAAGCCCTATAAATGAGGGGGTGTGTGAGTGTAATGCATGGATGATGACGTGTCTGTCATTATATCAATGTATGCTGCAACAAGCAGTTTTAGATTTATTAGGTCAGGTATCATGTAGAATTTTGGAGTTTAGTTTTAGTTTTATTGTGTTCCTCTGCTGTCCTTTCTTTCCAGACACAAGTCACTGTTCCCTTTCCTCTTTCCTTTTTTGTAGTTTTTCTCATTTGCAATATTTACAAAGCTAAAAAAAGCTGGGGTGCTTGAACACTCTGGGAGCGACACATTAGCCCTCAGTGACTTTTAGCAAATAGCCACCAAAGAGGCTAAGGTTCGTGTTAGTTAACCACTGAACACAACATGTCAAATGTTGATGCAACCAGTGGTATCTCTCGTGTGCATGTTGCTCACCTTAGATCCAACCGTGGCCCTATTACAGTACAGCTTGGCATTAGTCTTGATGTTGTTGGGGTCTATTGTTAGTGCCTCAGAGTAGAGCTCATAGGCTGCCTCAAAGTTTCCCTCCTTGAACGCCTTGTTCCCCTCCTCCTTCTTGGCTTTTAGTGCTTTGGCATTCTGGGGAGACAACACACAGGACAACCTTAAATGCTACTCTGGGATACGTTAACAATAAAGTCAATCAAACGGATGAGAAAACACCACGGTCTTATATGTTTTTAGTTAACATTCGCTTTAAGAGTAAAACACAACCAATGTACTTTAATTGACTTATAAAACTCTATCTCTTATCTACTGAATTACTCACTCTGCAAGCCAGCCGAGCCTTGTCATGGTCAGGAGCCATACGCAGGGCCTGGACAAAGAACTGGACAGCCTTGTCAATGCAGTCTTCATAATACAGACAAAGACCACGCACGTACAGTGCATCTGCATTAGTGGAGTCCATTCGCAGAATATCACTGAATGGAAGCAAATAATGAACACTAATGCATTAATAAACAGAAAAGAAACTAGACAAATTACATCTAAAATATAGGATTTTGTGTCATCATCTATGGAATCTATACTTCCCAGCAGAGATGAGACAGTGTGTAAGAATGCAGTGGTTGTATTGAATGATCATAAATGTGGGAAGACATATCCATAATGGAAGGAGAGCACCAGCCAAAGTTTTTCTAGCTTTAAATTGTGAGTATGACTTTCCCCATCTCTATGAAAACAGAGCAAGCTCCACACAGTTCCCAGAGGCACTCCCCAGAGAATCTTCATCAATTAACAAGGTGGGATCATCAATTTTAGGGACGTGCCATTTTTACAGAGCTGTAATTGTGAGTTTAAGTTTAAACTTATATATATTTAAAAGCATCAGGTGTTAAAGCCCATGGATTTCAGTAACCTGGCATACTTGTATTAACTAAAGATGAGTCAGCCCAAGAAATCACAGTAAGCCCGATGCAGTCAGAGCCTGACCTTTAAGAATTTATTCTGGCTTTATAGATGTGTCTGTACCTTTATTATTACTACATTCAATGTTATATATCATGGTTTCCCTTCTCTACAGAGCTCTGGGATATAGGATTACTCATCTGTTGTATCTGGCTGACTCATAATTAGAGCTGTATTGACTTGACTGGTATAGCACATGAACAACTCAGTGTCTTAATCTGCTTGAATCTTGCACTCATTGTGACAATAATGTCCAATAAATAAGAGAACCAAAGTATCTTTTGAAACATGTTGTCCTACCTGGCAACAGACTGAGCCTCAGGGTAGCGCCCCAGCAGAGCTAAGCACTCTGCCTTCAGTATCTTGAATCTGTGACAGGCTGGGGCAGACTCCAAGGCACGGTCCATGCAAAAAACAACCTAGAGACAAACACAGCACACTTGTGTTCTGTGTTTTTTGACATGTCTGTAACTGGTGACATACCACACAACTGACAAAACTAAGTAGGATTGTGACCACTGTTTGGCTTACCATCCTGAAGTCTCTCTTCTCAAATCCAATCTCTGCCATTCTCTCATATTCAAGGATGGATTCTGCATTCTTCAGCTGACAAAGGAATTTGTGGTATTTAGTGACAATATGAAAGACCTCGAGTAGTCAAATAACTGCTTTGCAGCTACCACTGGCTTCTCTACTGTGCCATATGTAGTGCTTATAAAACCAGGTCAATGCAAGCAGCAGTACTTCTGTGAATAACCTAAAACATGGCTCTTGGCTTTCTCATTGAGAATTAACAGTAACAGTAGTTGATCTCCTCTTAAACCGCTCAGTATCAGACGTTTTCGCTTTATTTGCACTAGCTTGGCCAAAGCTTATCTGATAGTGGATAATCATGTTGTTGTTGTCAAGTTGTCAGATAATGTTCTGCCGAACTGAGGCCAACTCACCTCCTGCTGGGCTTGACTGTTGTCAGACTCTAGCTCCAGAACCCTTTGGAAACAGCGGCTGGCAGCCATAGCATTGCCAAGACACAGGTGGCACTTGCCCTCTCGCAGATGGCCCTGTAGGTTTAGGAGTCACAGTTTACAAACTTAAGTGATCAATTCGCAACCTTGTGGAAATACGTTGGGCACTGAGCACTAAAAACTAAACCGTGGCTAGCTCTAGCTTACTTCTTTGTGATGTGACACAGCTTTTTATCCTTTCTGCAAAATCATAACGCTAGTAATCATGCAGCAATGGCTAATAGCTAATTAAATACATACATACATACAGGGATGTTCTATAGTGTATGTATTGAGGAGCCACATATCACCATAAACAAAAATGTATAGATGCATAAAAGCTGAACAGATACAAAGCTCTGAAATGTTTGGCATATAACTAATTGATGGTGTGAAAGTAACTTCTATGGGCTATATAAAACTATATTCCAAGTACATTTTCTACTATTTCTTCTACTTCTTCTACAACAAATGTTACTCATGCCATCTTCACACATTACTGCTAAACTGAACATGTTCATACCCCTTCTTGTCCACAGCAATATATAAAATGGAAAATCATTCATCAAAGCATTAGTAGAAGAGGAAGGTAAATGGAAAGCGTGTGCCGCAAAACAAAATAACTCTCAGAACAGAAAATACTTAATGTTAAACATTACGAGAGTATATTTTCCCTTTGATAAAATGGAACGGCTTGTTTCCCACAACCTGCCTTCATGAAGGAGTTATCTAGTCGCACTGCTTGCTGGGAATCCTCTAAAGCCTCTCTGTATCGACACAACATCATTAGCGTGGCTGCCCGGTTTCCATAGTAACTTGCATTCTTCGGACACATGTCTGTATAAAAAACAAGTGATGAAGTTGCTATTGTATGAAGGACAGACAGAATTCATCAGAGTTTGTATTTCTTACCCAAACACAAAATCAACATCATCCCATCGACTAACATGACCCAAATTATTATTAAGGGATAATTACCTATGGCCTTGGTGTAATAATTGAATGCTTCTGCATAATCCTTCTTGATATAAAAGGCATTGCCTTGCTCTTTGAAGCCCTCCGCTTCCCTGTGTAAAAATGGGCAGTAAGACAGAAAAAAAGGGTTAAAGGCAAATACTCAGATCAGTGTATTTCTGGGAGGAGCACGCAGGTATGTGGTGGTCAACTGGCTGGGTTTGATTGACAGCGTACTAAACTTCTAGATGTTGAAATTATCGTCTGCAAAAATAAATATTAAGCCCGCATTAAGGCCCCTTAATTCAGAGCACCACATTCATAACCATGTGTAAAGAGAGCATGTCCAGGATTGTGAATGACAAGAGTGCAACAGAGAGCTCACTGGCCTGAGTTAGCTAAACATAGAAAGAGCCAAAGCAGCAAGGCAGAAAGTGTCTACTCCAATCAAACACGAAGCTATTTTGTGAGGCAGAGAGGGGGCAGAGCCAGGAACATATGACACCATGCCGTGGGCCACTGCCATTACTTTTTTTGGAAGTCTTTCATGTTTTACATCACGACCACACATCGAGTGAACGGTGTCATTAACTAGTTCGCCAGCTTGACATCGCGCTAATGTGAAAGCAGTAACTTTAATCTATAAAAATCAACTTTTAACGAGGTCTGTATGTGCATTTACGGTGTGGCTGACTGTAAAAAACAAAAAAAAAAAAAAAAACCTAGAAATCCACCACAGGAGCCAGCTGAGTGGAGGACGACCAGGCTACACAGTTAGCGGTAGCTCCTTGGCTTTCCTATTGCGACGCGAAAATGAACATGGCAATAACTGTTGAGCGCAAATGTCAGTGTTGGGCGTCGTTACAGATATATTTCACCCGCTGACAACAATGCACGAACCCGTATTACCTCTCTAATTCTTCGTCACTCAGCAGCTCCATGTCAGGGTCCATGTTCACAGCATCACAGTTCTCCGTCGCCATTTTGCCGTCAGTGGAGAGGGGCGGGGCCACATTACTGCAGCGGTGACGTACACTGTAAACAGGAAGTGGTCCGTTAGGTAAGAAGAAGCGTAAGTAAAAAAAAAAAATAAAAAAATACGAACTTAACGTTAATAATACACATCCACAAACAGATAGCGAATAACAGCATGTGTGTTTATTTTTTGGAGTTTTAGTCTGTTTCAGATTACATTAGATACCTTTTTTTTTTTTTTGCGAAATCGTAGCTATCTCGCCAAAGGCTAATGCTAAGCTATCGTTAGTTCTTAATTTCACAGACTGCAGAAACGTACTGAGTTAACTTAGCTCATGTTACCGTAATATATCAGCACGATAAAGATACGTATTTATGTTCGCGATGTTGCTATGTATTCGTTGCGAGTTGGGTATTGTTTTATAACAGAATACACTTGTGACAACGTTGCTACACACCTAAAACGCAGGTGTGGTATAATTGCCACACTGTGCGCTGACATTGTAACTTTAATAAAGTGTTTTGATTCAACAGTTTTCCGTCTGTGTATCTTTTTCCCGACAAACAGATCGTCTGCGCTGGGTGTGAGTCATGGGAAAAAGCTGTAAAGTGGTTGTGTGTGGCCAGGCTGCTGTTGGTAAAACAGCTGTATTGGAACAACTACTGTATGCCAATCATGTTGCAGGTATACCTTTTTATATGTATAATTAAACTATTTTCCATGTTTTCTGTTAATGAGTTCCATTGGATTGTCAAGAATGTGTTACAAGTTGGTTGTTCTCTGTGTAATTGTTGTAATTACACATTTAAAGTGTTTAGTTTGTTAGCAATTCATTCTTCCTGATAGATGATGTACATTTAAAATGTTATTTAATAACACTTGCATTACTACTTATTTGAGAATAATTGAACAAGCAAAATGTTCTTTTATTACAGTATAAGTAAATTGCAGGACATAGTCGGCTTGCTCTTGAAGGCGAAAACTAGAGAGCATTGCACATTAAATTTATTTTCATACAGCATGTGTGGGTTTTTTTTTTGCAACTGATGTTATTCATCAGGTTTAAGAAATGAAGTTATAAGCCTAACAATTAAGTTACAGTAATTTGTAAAGTATTTCCTATTAGGCTCCTGCAACAACAAAATGCTGCTCCGCTCAGTCAGCAGCCAGAACTTGCTACACACTCGGTGACAGAGCTTGTGAAGACCCCAGAATAATAAAAAAAACATCGTAAATTCGAGTTTATAAAGATTACTTGGGACTGAATGGTAATCAGTGCTTACTTAACCATTACTGACATGAAAGCTGCAAATTTGACTGCAATTTGTAACTCCAGACTAAGACTTTTATGTGTTTATATGTCACCCTATCATATAAAGTGTTTGGCCATTTATTAAACTGTCACCTAAGGACATTTAAAAGTGCTCAGATGCAGTCTATAAATTACAAGCAATTGTGTTAATACGTGTGCAGTATTTGACACTATATGGGCCTGTCTTTGTTTACCCACTGTCAGGTTCAGAGCCCATGGAGACCCTGGAGGATATCTATATTGGCTCCATAGAAACTGACCGTGGCACACGAGAACAGGTGCGTTTCTACGACACACGTGGACTCAGGGATGGGATGGAGTTTCCTCGACATTACTACACTTTTGCAGATGGCTTTGTACTTGTCTACAGCATTGACAGTAAGGAGTCATTTAAGCGGATGGAGGTCCTCAAGAAGGACATTGACCGCCAAAGAGACAAGAAAGAGGTGAGGACTGAACCATTTATATGCTTGGGAAAGTTTATTTTGAGCTTTGGGTCAGTTAGAGTGGACCAAAAAATGTCCAATGCTGTACGTATTGGAATGAGATCTATAAATGATTCATTTGAATGTTGTTTCCAAAACTGATGAGGGGCTAACCTGTTGATCGTTATCCACAGGTGACCATTGTAGTACTGGGTAACAAGCTGGACAAGCAGGACGAGAGGAGAGTTGACTCTAACATGGCCCAGAACTGGGCGAAGAATGAGAAGGTGCGTTTGTGGGAGGTGTCGGTGGTTGACCGGCGCACACTGATTGAACCCTTTGTCTACCTGGCCAGCAAAATGACCCAGCCACAGAGCAAGTCCACTTTCCCTCTCAGCCGCAATAAGAATAAGGGCAGTGGGTCTACAGACAGCTGAATGGCCAGACACTGATGTTTAAGGGGGGAGGATAAAGGGATAAATTATGTGTTAAAGGGAACTTAGTTTTGCAAAAAAAAAAATACTATTTTGATATTATGAAGGATGGAGGTAGTAAGAGTTGATTTGGAGAATGTGGTGAATTGATGATGAGAGAAAAGGCAGGATGATTGTATTGATATTTATATACAGTGAGTATTGTTGGTATTGGTATAGCATCGGATAGGTTTGGTGAAATATTTACTACTTTAATTATAACTGAGTGAAAATGCTGATCTTTTGCCATATCAGCTAAGAAATTAAAGAATGCAAGGTGCTTTTATTTGTTATTCCTATTTTATTAGGTCAGATTATGGTCAAACTAATGATCCATGTTCTTTTACAAATACCGCTGTTCATCATCAGAAGTCTTGTTTGGACCTATAATGTTGTTCTTGAACTACTGACAATCAACATTTTGATCTCAGTTTATACTTAGAGTTTTAAGATATCAGACTCATGGCGCTCACTGTATGGATAAATTAGGATTCAGCACACATGTACACTGGCTACTATTTTATTTACACAGACTGAATCAGGAAGAGCAGCAGTCACTCGTGTTACCTAATTATTGCATCACACAAATGCTGAATTTCACATGTTGTAGAAGATATGATGGGTGAAGGGAATCTATTGATACATAATTGATGATGTACAGTTACTGTGCTGCTTGTTGAGCTGGAGGTTTGTTACACTATATATATGTTCTCTGCTGAGATTCACTGTTGGATGTTGTAGAATGAATGATTGACATTCCTTACACACATTGCCTTCTGTACAGGCTTTAGAAATTTAAGTATGAGATGTTCAAATGAAAGGAAGTTTCTGCAGGCTCAGGTGCTACTTTTTTTTCTGGTTGCGACGCATGAAAGACATAAAGCACTCTATAAAGTGAAATGTTGTAGCAAAACAACAATGTCGTCATATAATCAGTTATGGTTACTGCTGAAGTTGAAGCTGGTATATTATTTTTATTACTAAACTGTAAAAACAAATCCTAAATTACTCATTAGACCACCATTGAACTTTTTCAGGATGCTACACAAGTCAAAATATGAGCAGCTTTTAATGTTTGTTTAATTGAAAATGGGACATTTGTTGATATTTTCTTGAATATCCATGTGTTTGTGCCAGAGTCTCTCAACACTATGTATCATACATGCAGCTGTTTTGAGAATATCAAGCTTTTATGTATTAATATCCATAAAATGTATTCACTTGATATTTGTTTGCATGTTTTGTAAACAAATTAAAAGATTTTTTTCTGTGCCTAACCAGAGTTTTTGATTGTGCTAAAATGAATGAAGTAAATACAGCAAATCTTTTATTTAATCCTGGAAATTATTGGGTACTTTAAGCATCACAAAAGCACATCCCTCAGAGATGTCACCTGACAAGGACTGATTTGGTGAATTGTCACTGTGACTTGTAACCTTCTCAAATGTGACAGGCAATAAACGTTCCAAGTCTAATGACAGAAAAAAAACAGAAAATATCAAGTTTAAAAAGTTCAACCCAACCCCAATCACTGGTGTTCAGTTAATTTACATTGCAGTATGTTTCATGGCCAGTAGATGTCTCTGATATCCCAGTAAAACAGGGTGGATGTTCGTTTTCAGGGAAATATCCACATGTATACAGTTCAGTAACCTCAGCATCTCTGCACTTCAATGTAACTAATCCGTGGTTTCAGCTATCTTTAAATTAGTGCATTGATTTGACAATTTGTTGCATCTTAACTCAGTAATAAACATGTTTGTTGTATAGCCTGATGGTGTATGAGGGCCCGTAGGAGACATGGAAAATACACATTGATTTCTTTACTTATTAATTCTATAATTGCAAGTATTCACTGTAAGTGAATAACAATGAGCTACAGGTACTGATATCATGACAATTTACTGATATAAACAAGAATGGCCCTAGATAGACAAGTTAGACACAAAACTTCAAAATTGAACAAAATAGAGAGCAGTGTTCAAATATTCTTTCCACTACCATGCAGCAAACAAACAAATAAACATGGACAAAGGTAGTCTTTATGACAAGGGATTTCTATTATTAAGTGTATATCATAAATAACATGCCAATGAGTGTCCTTTTTGATACATATAATCCTTCAAAAAATGAATCACTATCTGTACACACACACACACACACTCCTGTTTCTTTGGGCAGGAGGGATACAGGTTTGATGACATCTAGCACTCGCTCCTTTGTTGGATGAATGCACTTGAAAGCTTCAGAAGCTTTGTTCTATGTTTATGTTAACACTTTTTGTCATATGAAAGGACTTACAGTTTTTTCAAGGACAAGCAAGTGTTAGAATTGTATTTAAAATGTAGGCTTTTATCCCCCTTGAAAGGAAATCACTGATACGAATCGATTCATTCAAGATTAAAACTCAAACCGAACAAAAACTGAGATCAGGAAGCAGGCAAATTCGTCAGCTGTCGTGCAATAAACTGCCGTCAGCTTATGCTATGACTTTTGATGCTAACAAAATTCAAACATGGAACAAACAAAAGTGAAATATTCATGATACACATATTGTCAAATCAGTGATTCACTAGCATTTTTTAAACACTGAACTGACACCAAAAAAGAAAAAGAAATTGTTCTAAGGAGTCAGTGGAACATTTATTAGTTTTGCAGTCTGTGTCCATCAAAACATTTACATTGACTTTCCTATAAACCATAATGGGAGTGGTAGTGAAAACAATGACAGTCAGACAAGGTCAGAGACGTTTAGGCAGAGGAAATGATCTGCTACTTCCACACGGGCGTGTTGACTGCAGAGGTTAATGCAAGATAATGAGAAAACCTCAAGTGGAACATTTATGGAATGATATTACACTCACCTTAGTTTCCCCAGAGGGTGCTATCATGTACCATCTCATTTCAATCATGTTCTTTTTAATGACTAGAATTGAGCCACTGCGGTGATGTTACTTCACTCCGAATGGTTCAGTGTAAGTTGTCAATACGTTCGTCTGTCAAATTCTTTCTGTGTAATGGCTCCGTGTCTGTATTGACCCGCATAAAAAAAACAGAAGATTCACAACACAAAATGAGAAATACACACTGTGAGCGTGCCAAGGCGTAGGATCGATTTGTCACTTGCCCGTGATTTATGAACCTTCTTCTTCCTTCAGACTACGCTGACTACAAAAGAGAAATTCACACTTGCTAGTCACAGTCACAGGGCAACAAGGTGATGCCCTTGTGTTGCTACCAGTAATACTCTCCTACTGTTGCATGACAGTGTGTCTCATGACTGCAGCTGAGCATCCAGCTCTCCCAGTGGACCCATAAGGAAGATAATGTTTTTTTTTTTAGAAATAGACTTCAACCCTGGAAGCTCTGCAGTGACCCTCTTTTCACAGTCCACATCACGAAGCCTCAGATTAATAAAACAATTCCACACAGGAGTGAACACATACAGTCTAAATGGCAGTGCCACCTTTATTCTCTGTGTTATCGGGCTTATTTCTGTGGGCTGGAAATACCAGCTGCTCTTAAGCCATCAGTCAAATGTTAGTTGTCATGCTGGCTTCCCACGAGCCTCTGAGAGAAGTCATTTATCCTCAAAGCACAGGGTGATTTAATATGGGAGAAATCAAGCTGAAGGCATTCTGAACTGTGCAAAAATTGGATCTTAGTTATTGCTTATAGCTTGTGCATTCAGCGAGTATGCTGAAAGAGTTTGACACCTTTGACACTCTCCGTGGGGACATGTCGACACATTGTCTCCCATCAGTCAATAAGAAGACAATTTAAGCTCAATAAAGGACTAAATAAAGAAACCATGGAAGCTGAAAAACAAATTGATTTTTTCCACTGCTCAACTAACTCAGCCCCCTTTCTCCTGCTTTCATCTTTCTTTGGCTTTTTTACCCTTAAGTGCAAATTTGGAGCAATATTGATGGCAAAGTATTTTCTTCATAATTTTTTTTTTACAAAATGGTAATTATCTGTGGTGGGTTCCAAGAAATGATGACTAGTATGTATAAATGTTAAAAAACCCAAATATTTAGTAATTATGCTCCGTACTTGCATGAACAATGTATTTATGCAAATTAACCCAAAAAATGAAATGACCCATAGTAACTGCTATAGAATAATGTAATAGATTTGATAATCATCTTATATTTATGACATAATTGTGCTAAAGTGAAGTATCTTCTGTAATATCAGCAGTATGTATAATTAAGCACTAATGTACTCTCTGAATTAAAACATTACCGTGTATCCACTATGTAAAGCAAAGCTGAAAAAAAAAAATTCAGCAGCAGATTTTAATTAAAAAACACTAAAAGCTTTTTTCCAGTGGACACATCAGACAACTTTCTGACTGACTTCCTTTTCTTTCTTTTCATTGAAACTGACGTGCATATGTTTTAAAATAAATTAATGTCCTGTTACCCATTAGCCAATTTTCATGTTCACAATTACAGCATCTTCACCTGCTAAATACTGTATATTTACTTTACCAATGAGTACATTATTGTCTGTTATGCATTTTAGGTGAATTATTTTTATGTACAAAATAACTACAGAAGTGAATACTTACCTGATTGGTCATGATTGTAACTATGCCATTTTTGTACCAACAAATACTAAATACATATAGGACATAAGTTCCTTCTATATACAATTACTTTGATGTGTCTGCTCTTTCTAAATATTAAATAACTGTACTATAAACTCTACGGTTATATTTGATCAAATATATTATTCTTCCCTGGCCATTATGTTACATTATTAGTCATGATAGTTCACATACAATGAATATTATTCTAAATGAGGCAGAAACAGAAACTGGCCGTGTCTCTATGGAGTATTTTCTTCTCAGTCTTATAAATCTTCTATAACGACCCATTTGCTTTCAGTTAAACAGAAGTGCGCGCACACACACACACACACACACACACACACACACACACAGAAGCTATGTTTTTATAAGGGGTGACTCTTCAGTTGAGGAGTGGTGGCTGACCACCACAACAGGAGATAAGGGTGTCACTCCCTCCATGGAGAGCAGACAGATAAGATACTGGATCAATACAGCGGATACACCAGTGTCGCAGCTCAGCAAGGTCATCATGTCCTTCTGCCATATCAACGGCTTTAGTAAGTGCTGGGGATCCAGTGGCTTTGTTTGGCACCACAGGAGGTGCTGGACTTGATGTTTGTGCTTATCTACTGTTTCCACAAAGGACGGTGTGGTTGGCGTGATGGCCTGAGGCACAGAGGACAACATCAGTAAATAATCCAAGGGCTCTCCTTCAAATACACAAAAAAACTGGGAAATTAATACAGAGCTAACTGAGCTGAATACACGATTATCCAGTGGGATGGATAAAAGCACTGGAAAGTAGCTAGAGCCAATCAAATGGCCAAATGGACATCTGTGGAGAATCATCTGTAAATAAAGAAGATTATGTCTGTAAAGGTATATCATTCTATCACTCCTCTGCGCGTCACAGACACAGTGGCTTTAACTTGTTTCCATTTGCCTTCACCCTTGTATCTTAGCTAAAGACCAGTCCTGCTGTAACAAGTTGTTTCCTGAAATGGCTGGAAAATGAGTAGCTGTGGGTTCCACATGAACAGATGCTGTGAGGGTGTTGCACACTTTCAGAGAAGCCAGTCTGCACCTGCAAAATCAGCATCACGTATAAATGTTTTTTCCCCACCTGGCTATTCCTGTCTCAGAGCTGGATATGCTCAGTTTTAACTATCTGATTAATAACTAGTATTTTGAAACGGTGGTTCTCTTTGTTTCTCCATGTGATTCAACTGTACAAAACTTAATTCAATCAAAGACAATTGCAATTTTGAGCATCTTCGTCAATCTGAGCATTCATCTTGTCACTGTTTATTCATTCTGTCTTTTTTTTTTTTCCTTACACCCACACACATATTGTTATTGCTCAAATATCAATCTGAAGTATGGCCTTCTGGGTTGTTGCTGTTTTTAGTTTTTACCCATGACACAGGAAAAGCACACAGACATTTGCATAATCACTAAAACCATTTGTTTTACAAGTTCTAAAAGCTTTATTTTCCAAAATCCATCACTTGTCCTCTCTATGGTACAGCACTGAAAGTTTTTTGTTTGTTTTTTTGTCAATCCATCCATGCGTACAGTGTTTCCTGCTCTCTAGAGCTATGGAGGGATACCCTGAATGGATGGTCATGTTAGCATTTGCTCAACCTGTCACCCCTGAGAAGGCCTGTCTAATGTGACTTTAGGATATTGTCGAAAAAG